CTCAATGGACAAAGAACTTGAAATAAAGTGGAACTTTGTTGTTATATATACTGACAGCAGCAAGAACACTTTATGAACAAAAATAAAAAGATACTTTAATTTCCATAATGGATGAATAGCTGGAAAAAGTGATGGAACTAGCAGAGATGGCTATTGCTAAAAAAGTAATTATTCTGACAAAAAAGAGTCAGAAATCAATTCTTTGTTTCTTTTTCAATCTTTACCCTCCACTTCTTTCTCTCTCCCTTTCCCTTCCTCATTTTCCAATCATTTTCATTTCCCCTTGTATTTTATATTTTGACAAGTTTAATAAAATCATTCAACAAAAGTTCAATGAATCTTGAGGTTAGTTCACAGTCTATTACTTATAGAATCTATCTTGATATTGACCTAGATTTTCATTAATGCTATAATTGGTTTCTAAAACATTGAAAACCCAAATAGAACAACTTAATTAACTCATATGGAAAAATGCTGGCCTGACAAATTAATATAGCCTTCCCTCCAAATAACTATGACTCACTGAACATTTCTAAGATGAAAATTTAGTGGAATTTCTTCATACTTCATTACCTAAAGAGTACATTGTATGTACTAATTGTGCTTGGACAGAAATATTGAATGTAACTGTTGAAATGTGTCCACAGCTCCATTAGATTGCTTATTTATTGATGAATATGAAGTGGCTGGATCAGTCACCAGGAGTACAGGTTTGTCTCTGTCGGAAGACAAAACCTCTGATCCCATTTGACAGACCAAGATTGGATCTTGAAACATTATCCTGGGACATGTATATTGCCTTCATTGATGTATAGATTGAATTAGTATTTGCTTGTTCAAAATGGGTTCCTTTTGTTTTTCTATTTCTTATGTATTAAATGCTCTCTAGTATTGAGTTCAGGCTTAAATATAATTATATAAAATTTGGGGATGAAGATGCATCCCAGTAAATCAGCACTGGAAGACAGGATAGAGAAGATCTCCACAGTCACCATTGACTTCCCTTTGGTGCTCAGATAGGTGGGGACAAAGGTCAGCCAAATGCTACAGAAAACCAACATGCTGAAAGTAATGAACTTGGCTTTGTTGAAACTGTCTGGCAACTTCCTTGCTAGGAAGGCCACAATGAAGCTGAGAAGGGTCAAGTGACCCATGTAGCCCAAGACACAATAAAACATGATGATGTAGCCTTCATGACATTCTACTATGATTTCTCCGTGAAGTGTTTCCATGTCCAAATCTGGAAATGGGGGAGAAGAATTCAGCCAAACAATACAAATAACTACTTGAATGAAGAAACAGAAAAAGTTAATGGAATAGGCCAACTTTTGCCCCACCCATTTGTAGAATAGGCTTCCTGGCTTTGAGGCTAGGAATGCTACAATGACTATGATGGGTTTGACCAATATAGAAGAGATTGCAGTAGAGAAGATGATGCCGAATGTTGTTTGTTGGAGGAGGCAGGTTGCCTTATTGGGATGTCCAATGAACAGAAGTGAGCAGAGGAAACAGAGAAAGAAGGAGACAAGTAGAAGGTAGGTAAGGTTGTAATTGTTGGCTTTGACAAGGGGAGTGTCACATTGCTTAATGAAAATTGCAAGCACCAGACTTGTGGAGAAGGAAAAGAGAAGAGCCAGAGACATCAGAGTAATGCCCAGTGGTTCTTCAAAGGAGAGGTAATTCAGCATCTTTGGAATGCACTCATCGTGAGCTTCATTTGGAAATTGATCCTCTGGAAAACTGTCACAATTCTCTATGTCTGAAAAGAGGAAAAGAGTTTCTGAACAGAATCAAACTTTTCTCAAGTATCAGAACAGCCTTTCTGGAGGTCCCTCCAATGAGTTTTCTAAAAGTTTTTATAACTGTATAATTTTTTAATTAGTTGATCAGAATATAAAATACAAAGGAAAATAAAAGTGATGGGAAACAAGAAAAAATAAAACAGGAAAAGAGAGTGTCAGGTAGAAGGGGAAAAATTAAAAAAATATCTATCTCTTTTTAGCACAGTAGAAGATAATAACATTAGAGCCTCAACCTTTTATTCTTACACTGTAGGATTTACTAGCTATTTCTATAACAACAAACTTATTCAATCAGGAAAACCAAAATCAACTTTTCATTTTTTCCATCACAAGCACAAAATCTAGAAGTATTTTCCAAATAAAAACAAAATTCAATATAAGCTTGATTTGGAAATAGATCCTCTGGACAACTGTCACAATTCTACATGTCAGAAAAGAAGAAAGCATTTCTAAACAGAATCAAACTTTTCCTAAGTTTCTGAATTGCTTTTCTAGACTTCCTTGCAAAGTAAATGTTTCATAACTTTATTAAATGTTAGTAAATGTTTGTAAATGTTTGTAACTAGTAAATGTTTGTAACTCTGTTCAACCAACAGGTAAAAAAAAAGCATGGAAGGGAAAAACTATTTAGATTTTCATACATTTCAGTCATCTTGGCCTATTGGAGAGCACTAGGTTTAGTAGTATTTCTGAGCAAGAAAATAGTATGCCACATTTTCTAAACTACTGTCATAAGTGGGGGGAAAAACCTAGAAACTTTAGATCCTGGAAAACTGGCAATATCACTAGAGAATAGGAGATTAAGAAGTATCCTATTTGATAAGTGCTTTCTTCATGGGAGATATCCCATCATTTGAGTTAGATTCAACCTCAAGAATAGAGAGATTGGCTACAGGACATTACTACTTTTTCCTGCCTTGAGATGCATCAATAAAGCAAGCTGGTAATATTGAAGAGATTCTTGTTAACTGGGGTACAGGATTCAGAAATGAACCTTTAGGCAAAGCACCATTGGGATGTTATGAATCTTACCCATTTGTTTGGATATCATCTTTTCTGGACACGGAGCCCAAGCATAGCAACAAAATTTCTGCCCTTCAATCTTGTTCTTTTTTTCCCCAAGAATGAAACAGGTGGCAGCTATCACCAAAGAAACAAAGAGGTCAGTATTAACCTTTTGTTTTTTGATTTTGGATGGATGCACAATCAGTGAGATGTTTAGACTGGATTTGGCATTTCTCTCCACCTATCGAGTACAACTGAAGAAGCTGGGACAGAGGGATGTTGTGATTTGATGGTGTTTAATATGATCCTCACAGGATGTCAGCCTTCCAAGTAAAGCTGCCTTTTGCAATTGACAATGATTTTTGACAATTTTACCCAGGAGCAAGCAGAGTTTTGCTTGAAAAACTATATATCCTGTGATGATAGCTTTAACATCATCAAACAATAAGCTCTCCCTTATTTGCTAGGGAGGCTTCCTGTGAAGATGGCCAATAGATGACAAGCCAAGGAAGCTTGTCTCTTTGGAGTGTCACTTTTTCAACTTACGAACCAAATGAACAGGTATTTCTTTAATTTAGTGGTTCCCAAAGTGGGTGATACCACCCCCTGGGGGGGATGCCTTAGGGGGGTGCTAAGAGACAAGGGGGCTGTCAGAGGGGCACTAAGAAGCGGCAGGGGGGCGTTCGAGGTGCCGGCCCTGGAGGTTCACTCATTGACTGCAGCACCACTCCAGAGCCGGCACCTCCAATGCGGAAGCGGTGGCATATTACGTGCTGTCATGGCTGCGTTCGATGTGCTGCCCCCCTGCCACCTCTTAGCACCCCTCTGCTGGCCCCTTTGGGGATGCTTAGAGGCAGCAGTGGAGCATTTGAGGCACCAACCAGCCCTGCAGATTCACCCATTGACTAGCACTGCTCCAGAGCTGGCGCCTCCAATGTAGAAGTGGTGGCACGTTATGTGCCACGGTGGCCGCGTTCGACGCACCACCCCTGCCACCTCTTAGCTCCCCTCTGCTAGCCCCCTTGGGGATGCTAAGATGTGGCAGGGGGGCATTTGAGGCACCGGCCCTGCAGGTTCACCTATTGACTATAGTAATGCTCCGGAGCCGGTGCCTCCATTGCAGAAGCGGTGGCACGTTATGTGCTGCCACAGCCGCGTTTGATGCACCACCCCCTTAGCATCCCCAACCTCTTAGCATCCCCAAGGGGGCAAGCAGAGGGGCGCTAAGAGGCAGCAGGGGGGCAGCACATCAAATGCAGCCGCAGCGGCATGTAACATGCCACCGCTTCCACATTGGAGGCACCGGCTCCATTCCAGTGCTAGTGAAGGGTGAACCTGCAGGGCCAGCCGGTGCCTCAAATGTCCCCCTGCCGCCTCTTAGTGCCCCTCTGCTGGCCCCCTTGGGGACACTAAGAGGTGGCAGGGTGGGCGTTCAAGGTGCCGGACCTGCAGGCTCACCCCATTGACTGTTGTACCACACCAGAAATAGTGCCTCCAATGCAGCAGCACATTGGGAAAAGCCACTGCCATCACTTTCCCAAAGTGCCACCGTTGTCGCATTCTGTCTGTCTGTCTGTCCATCCGTCCATTCATCCATCCATCCAAAAGGTCTGTCTGTTTGCCTTCCTGCCTTCCTGCCTACATGTCTGTCTGTCTTTCTGTCTACCTACCTATCTACCAATATAAATCTATCTATCTACCTACCTATCCATCCATCCATCCAAAAGGTCTGTCTTTCTTCCTGCTTGCCTGCCTACCTACCTACCTTCCTATCTACCAATATAGATCTATCTATCTATCTATCTATCTATCTATCTATCTATCTATCTATC